GAAATCGCACAGTCGTGTCGCGCTGGTTCAAGTGGTTCTCTGCGATTTGCAATTTTTTTTCTTTGCTAATGTATTATATTCTGTGTTAACCAGTTGGCTATTTTTCACGAGAATAGTCGTCATGAAGAAATGCCAATATCTTGTGGCCCTCTCAGTAATAAAATTAGAAAATAAGACAGTCGTTTCGTTAATTCTGTATTAACTTAATTCTATGTTATAATCATACATGTTCTTTGTTTGACGAGTATACTCGTCGCTTACTCTTCTATTTTTCACGAGAATAGTCGTCATGAAGAAATGCCAATATCTTGTGGCCCTCTCAGTAATAAAATTAGAAAATAAGACAGTCGTTTCGTTAATTCTGTATTAACTTAATTCTACGTTATAATCACACGTGTTCCTTGTTTGACGAGTATACTCGTCGCTTACTCTTCTATTTTTCACGAGAATAGTCGTCATGAAGAAATGCCAATATTTTGTGGCCCTCTCAGTAATAAAATTAGAAAATAAGACAGTCGTTTCGTTAATTCTGTATTAACTTAATTCTATGTTATAATCATACATGTTCTTTGTTTGACGAGTATACTCGTCGCTTACTCTTCTATTTTTCACGAGAATAGTCGTCATGAAGAAATGCCAATATCTTGTGGCCCTCTCAGTAATAAAATTAGAAAATAAGACAGTCGTTTCGTTAATTCTGTATTAACTTAATTCTATGTTATAATCACACGTGTTCTTTGTTTGACGAGTATACTCGTCGCTTACTCTTCTATTATTCACGAGAATAGTCGTCATGAAGAAATGCCAATATCTTGTGGCCCTCTCAGTAATAAAATTAGAAAATAAGACAGTCGTTTCGTTAATTCTGTATTAACTTAATTCTATGTTATAATCACACGTGTTCTTTGTTTGACGAGTATACTCGTCGCTTACTTTTCGCCACAAATCTTAGGTACACGCTTTTCAAGGTTTTCAAAGATGCAAGAACCAACTGGTTAAGTGTTTGAGATGTTTTTACTTTAATTTCTGGTTTCTGCTTATAGTTGCATTCATTTTACAATTCCTAGGAAGATTCTCTGCCTTAAAAATCTTGGAGCGTATTTGAAATTTGTAAAGCGGTCCAGCAGCAGACACTGTTTCGTTCTTTGATGATCTATCAAATCATTCCACGCTGCTGTTAAATACTCGCGTGTCAGAAGCTAGCGGTTCGTTTTCATTTTCAATCGCATTACATTAAAATTCTCTCGCTTAATCATAGAGCGATATTAAAATGAGGAATTCAACACGATGACGCGTCTATTGCGTTCTTCTCTCGTCGTGTTCATCCGCGATGATTGAAACGCCGCAACAGACGAGGTATAATCGGTTCTTGATAAGATGTTTGTGGGGAAAGGAAATTGTCAGAGTGGACAGCAATTGGAATCGTAGGCTAAGCTTAATTGCGAAGGCTTAAGCCGGTTGCATCGGGGTTTTTCGCGTGTTACGAGCGCAGTTGGCCCACAGCAAGCGTTCACACTCGAAGAATTCGCGCAAACTCGTCCCAGGCGAGGCGACGAAGCACAGTTTTGAGGCTGAAATTGCTAAAGGGTCGGTTCTCAAAGGGGAATTTCACGGACAAATTAACTGGCCGTGTAATTCCAGCGACCACCAACAGCTTCGTGAAACTTGCGCTACCGTTGATTCTGGATAAATACACAATTCGACCCAAGTTGTGAATTTCTTTCGGTTAACGCTAACACCACGAACACGCTCCAATATTCAGCTGTATTCGAGATTAGCGAGCGACAGTTTGCCAAACTTTTCATACTCCAGATAGCAGCGCGTTTGCTGTTCGCTGTACAATTTCTCTTCCTCGTTTTGCATTATTTTAATCAGTTAGCTGTTTTCGACGAGTATACTCGTCATACCTACGAAGTAGCTACAATTTGCTGTTTGAATTTCAATTTGGTAATCGCAGTAAACTGCGCCAATAAAATGAAAAAGTGATACAATCGTGTCGTTGCAACTCGATTCCTTAATTCGTTGCAATTTAATTAATAATAAAATAACAGAATAAAAGAAGCTACTGAGGATCGTTCGTGGTTGGAATTTTACGACACTGCGCCATCGTGTACACGTACGTGAAAAATCGGCGGGAAATTCGGCAAGACGACGGTGTGAGAATCAGGCCAAGACGGAAGTGGCCGGAGAGAGACCAGGAAGAACGTGATTCCAGCGGCGAGTGCCGGCTTCTATTATTCTGAGATATACAGGGTGTTTCCTACTTTTCCGGCAACATCGTAGGCGCATAATCTACAAATAAAACTAAGAAGAAAAAGATATGGTGCGGAACAGCAGATTTAAAACAATGCGGAAAGTCGATCGTCTTTACTCTGCCTGTACCTGCGCCACATTTCTTCTTCTCTGACTATTTACTGCAGTAGTTGGTTATCGTGTGAAGTATCGAGCGTCGTGTAGAAATGCCAAGATTATTTTCAAACGAGGAATACGCCGAATTATGTTTGTGCGTGGTATCTGCTGTACGAGAACACTAGCGTGTGTTTCCTGCAAGAAAAGTACCACATGGTTCAGTGTTTGTTAACATCTATTCAGGCTAACACCTATTTACCTACAATTTTGTAACAAAGCGTTTACGAGCAAACTTCGTGTAACATTTTCTCCTTATTTTCACTTGTAGATCATATGCTTGTACGATGTTGCGGGACGAGTAGAGAACACCCTGTATATTGAGCTGGGCGACAAAGAAGTCGATGAAGAATCCACCGCTGCGGCAATTCTCTCTTCCTTTTTGTTTATTTATCGGTTTAATAAAGCTCCGCCCGAAGCTATATCACAAAGTTCCCTATACTTCTCCGTTTGTTTGACTTTTTATCCTTTCCCCTATCCTGGCACCGGAGTTTTCAGAGTTATGAATAAATTCGCGATTAAATCTACCAGGAGTTTCTGATTGTCTTCTGTGCGGCTCAAGGAGATCCTTTATAATTCTCTCTTTGCATTTGGCGACGAGAAGTTAGATTAAATGAGAATTTGCCTATTGAAATTGCTATTGTTATTTCTTAGTTACTTGTTCGATTATATTCGACAAAGTTGTACTGTATTTGGCGATATCAGGTTCGATCTGGATTGTCTTTGGAATTGCTCGAGCAGATTATTTATAATTTTCATTTTGCATTTGAGCGTAAAATGTCAGATGAAATGGGAATTTGTCATAAGTAAGATTATTGTCTTTTGAACGACTCGAGAACATCCTTTGGAATCTTATCTTTGGCCTTGGCGATGAGGAGCTACACAGGTCCGATCTGGATTGTATTTGGAATTGCTCGAGCAGATTATTTACAATTTTCATTTTGCATTTGAGCGTAAAATGTCAGATGAAATGGGAATTTGTCATAAGTAAGATTATTGTTTTTTGAACGACTTAAGAACATCCTTTCGAATCTTCTCCTTGGCCTTGGCGATGAGGAGCTACACAGGTTCGATCTGGATCGTATTTGGAATTGCTCGAGCAGATTATTTACAATTTTCATTTTGCATTTGAGCGTAAAATGTCAGATGAAATGGGAATTTGTCATAAGTAAGATTATTGTCTTTTGAACGACTTAAGAACATCCTTTACATCCTTTAGAATCTTCTCTTTGGCCTTGACGATGAGGAGCTACACAGATTCGATCTGGATTGTATTTGGAATTGCTCGAGCAGATTATTTACAATTTTCATTTTGCATTTGAGCGTAAAATGTCAGATGAAATGGGAATTTGTCATAAGTAAGATTATTGTTTTTTGAACGACTCAAGAACATCCTTTGGAATCTTCTTTTTGGTCTTAGCGATCAGGAGCTACATTAGACGCGAATTTTTCATATTAACATAATTTATGATAATCCGAATTGATTCATTCCAATAAAAGATCGTTCAGAGAAGTGTTGGATTAAATGTGAAATCGAAATGTGACGATGCTTGTCGATTATCATTTAACAAGTTTCTAATTTACCGTGGAATTCCCTCGGACAATTAAATTTCCTAAAATTTATTCTCCTACAAACGACATGTACCGCTTCTTCTCCGAGCTCCATAGAAGATATAAATCGAAGGGGCAAAGCGAAATCGGCATGTTCTATTTTATAACGAACCAGTGCAAGAACCTCTGTCCTTCTATTCACCAAGTTACTTCTATTCAAACATTCTTACACCTGAATTAAAACGAAAGCTTATTAAATCTCAATGAAACCGAAATTAAACTATACCTTTATCAAGTTATTTAAAATCTTTAAAACCGGTCCAGCAGCAGTCACCGTTTCATTCTTCGATGATCTGTTTCTACAAATCGTCGAACGCTCCTGTGTTAAATACTCGCATCTCAGAAGCTAGCCGGTTCGTTGTCATTTCCAATCGCATTATATTAAAATTCTCTCGCCTAATCATAGAACGATATTAAAAACTATACACCAAGAAAAAAAAAAGGATTTTCCAAGAACAATAACCATTACGAATTACCATAAATGTCCAGCCATCGTAGTTTAAACGACCAGATCTAAACGACCGGAGTCTGAGCTCTAAATTTCGCTCGATTAATCGTGATCGTCAGGATCGTAGTACCGAGGTAGCGAATAAAAGCGAGCGACTTTCTAAAAAGACAGATCTAACGAAGGGTAACTACTAAGCGGTAATAAAACCAGAGGATCGTAGAAAAAGGCAAGAGCGCAAGATTTATTACGTTCCACGCATGGAACGGTTAGCTGCACCTGCAGATAAGTGTCCTCGAGCGTGTAACTCTGAATTATGAGTGGCTTGCTTCTCGATCCCGCGCATTTTTACCCTCCTTCGTCGTTTATTTCGTCGACCGACCGGATTTACAGTTCCGCTTGTAGTCCGTAGATTAGACGATAAACGCCATACATCCTGACGAACGAGTGGGAAAATTTAACAAAAAAAAAAAAAGAAGAAAAGGAAAAAAAAGAAAGAAGAGTCAAGAAAAAGAAGACAAAGATTCTGTCTGCTTACCTGGTGTACGGAATTCGACGATGGAACCGTCGACGGTGACGCGTCCGTCTCTTTCGACTCGGCGAAGTGCCACGTCGTGCCACGTGCCGTCGTCGATTCGTTGTTTCGACGATTTCACCTTCACCGGTCCGCTTCCGAGGTCAGCGTGCAGGTACAGATGACCATTGAAGATCTCGAAGGCGAAGAGATCTTGCTGCAAAAAAGAAACGACGTTTTACTTTTACCATCCATGTAGCCATCCACGTGTTACATTACTATATCACTAAGCTATAATATTTTACCAAATGTCCTACTGGACAAATTGTAAAATGTAAATAAATAAAAAAAAAAAAATGTTTACCATCGGTGGGTAAAATCGCGACTTTACAACTTTCGCGAAGCTTGCAACGTTTCTAAATATGTTGAGATAATTTTCTGGCTGCACTGGGTTAAATGCGTAGTAGAGATACTTGTATGTGGATGTCAGTGTGTGGAGGTACGTGTGTGCGTCTCGAAAACAGATGAATGTAAACTGTTCAGTCGAGGAACTAGTCGGGAGTGTGTATCGATGAATATCTTAGCAATCGTCCATAAAACAAATATATAACTATTCTAATATTAATCCCAAGTATAAATTTAGTATTCCTGTAACATTATTTCGGCTTCAAAGATCCACAATCCTCAACAAAATAATCAAACTACCGGCGAACGAGTGAACGTACAAAGTGCACGCGCTACTGTCTCTTCGTTTTTCCTAGACGATTCTCATCTCTTCCCAAAGTTTGTCGAATTTTTATATTTCCTGCTAAATAGCAGCACTAACTGTTAGTCGCAACGAGCGTGACAATCGAGCACGTGGACGTTCTTTGACGTTGAAAAAATGTCCCCAAGATACGCGTAGCTCTCTGGTCGCTGAAACCCGAGCAAGGGACGTGACCAAGGGACGAACGAGAAATTAAAGAAAAGAGGAATACGATCGAGCAAGCTCTTTCGTAGCGACCAGCCGCGTTTATTTCGCGACTAATAGCCATGTGTTAACGCGTGTATTTCCAAACAGAGAGTTAGTAGTGTGCGTGAGAGACACGAACGCGGACCGGCCAAGCATTTGTTCGCGGGATCCGGTGATTCCGCTAATGAGCAACTGGCGCTCTTAACGAGAACCCGGTTTTCGCAACTTTCCGATTTATTTCACGCCGTTGCGCGCTACGCAGCCGCGATTATTCGCCACGCTGACGCCAGCCCCGTGCTGCTCCTGTTTCGACGTTGAAATATAATTGTGGGAATTACGAGGCGGTATTGTTAAACCGAGATAACTGGCGGCTGCGAGGGAAACTCGGCTGCAGCGACGAAAATGCATTTCCTCTCGATCGTCGTTTGGCCGACTCGTGGCCCGGATCTGCCTCGCCTGTCTCTCGGTCTGTTCGTCGAACGCGCAGATTCTGCGATATACAGAGGATGTGCGACAACTCGCCAAGCTGGTTCCTCGCGAACGAATAAGCGAAAAGCGTGGAACGAAGATTTTTCATGTGGTGGGGCTTCGTTTTTTAGAGTAACAATTTTGGAGATGGGGTTAGGTTGGGGTTAGGTACAGGTTTTCAGCTATTAGGTTGTCCGGAAAGTTTCTTTCTTTTACAGACACGTCTCTTCCAAGGCTGCATCTTTAACAAACGTGAAACTTAATCCGTCAAACTTTGTGATTTTTATCTTGATAGAAGAAAATGGATCATACGTAACTCGATGAAATAATATAAAACGGAGGATGTCGTGCATCCAACGTTATCGTTCCACGAAAAATCGGCAGACTCAGCATTAAATTATCGCCTTCTGCCTCCGCAGTTTTCGCATATGCATCTTACAAAATTCATTTCCCGATTGTTCGACGATTTTATCGAGTTTAATTAAGGATTCGATAATTTCACGTGAAATCGGTCGGACGTGGTTCGTTCTGTTAACGAGGTGCTATCAGTGATTTTAATTACGTTCTCCCCGAATGATTCGTTTTAGGTTTTCGTTAATTAAATGTATTAGTAATTGAACGAATAATATCTGACGAAGAGTTTCGGTAATTCTATTCGGATATTTCACGAGACGTTTTGTATGTAGAACGTTCATCTTCGGATTAGCGAAAATAGAAGCTCGGTCGGTTGTCTATTTAGTTTTCCATCGCAAGCTGATACTGTCGTTTATGCTATACATAGCCCAATGGAACTTTTATTCTACACAACGATGGAGCATTTGTTTTTACAACGATTGATTTAACAATAGATAGAGGTAGTTCAATTAAATATGACGCTGATATAACAAGTTCTAAATCACAGTTTATTACAACAACTCTGTAAAGAAGATAGTTACGCTGGTGCGCGTGTGTAAGTCAAGTAAGTGACTGATCTAAGGGTGGAAACCCGGTCAAAGGATGTCGACTGTTTGAAAGATGGAAAATCAGCCAAGTTCGGTGACGATGCTGTGGCGGAGGAAAGCCGAGGATGGATGTGTCCAGCGCACGGGACCATCGGATTTGTCGATGACAATTTTGGCTAGGAGAGCGAGGGAAATAGGCTTCGTTGTTAATTGCTTATTTGCTATGGTGGTGGATGAGGAAGGATGCTAACCGCCCTCGAGATAAAGTTGCTAGTGAGAGGCCTCGTACGTGAGAAAAGGCAACTTTCCCGCGTCAACCCGCGGTGGACGATAAACTTTAGAAAACAATTCAGTGAAAGAATATTTGTTCGGTCTGAAGGACCTTGACTAGAAAGTTCCTGAGATTTATGGAGGGTACTTGAGACTATCGAGGCTACGTAGTAAGGATCTGAAGACATCCGACTACCATCTTGCCGGCGGTGTGTGGCCTGGTTTAGGTAGAGAGTCGACCAACGTAACAATTAAAAGTATTTTCGAATGCTTTTACGAATACTTTCTACGCGCAGTCCGCCGACTAAAAGAAGCAAAGAAAGGAAGAAACAATATATCAAACGAAATTTACATACCCTCGTGTGAGCTCCACTACGGCTGTACATGATCAAGCCGTTAGGTTCGTTGGTCCGGATTTTGAAGGATATACTGCCGGACTTGGCCGCCTTCCAAGGTGGCAGGACCTGAAACACAGGAGACATACGTCTCTTAATACCTTCCACTCTTGGCTACCACTTCTGAAAGACGTAAAACAGAAAGAAAAGGAAGACAAAGAGAGATAGATAGATAGATAGATAGAGAAAAAGAAAGAGAAAGAGAGGCGGAAGGAAGAGCGAAATCCCTCGACGTCCTGAAGAAGAATGGAGAACATGGACAGCGTCGGTGGTCCAGCGTGTTCGGAATCCAAAATTTCCTGCTCTTCGTCGTGCACGAGTCCATTCATCATGCATGACAGCTTAAATAATCACGTTTCTCGTGCTCGTGGAATTTTTACTTCAATTTCGCTGCGGTACCGAGTCTCCTGCGGCTGACTGATTTACGTTTCGCCATCGAGAAATTCACCGCAGTTCCGTCTCGGCCGCGTGTCCCATCGCCACAAAATTCTCGTGCGACCCATTTGTTGCTTGTTTCTCGGATTTACAGAAACAAAAAAAAAAAAAGAAAAAAAACGGACTAGGAGAGAAAAAGGACTAACAACGTCAGATCCGTGACGAGACGGGAGAAACAATTAGCCGCGAGTCGCGCGATTTTGCCTCGTCCTTCGGTTGCTATCGTTGGATCGTACGGTGACATCGCGCGAGAGTTTTCATTTTTGTGCAGATTTTTCAATCAGGTTGTTTAATTTCAAGACACCTGAATTTCATTCTTATTCTACGTCTATGCAATCCTACGTATTAGGACGCTGATTATACTTGATGCGCTATCTTAAAGTAAATGTTAACTGTTAAACAAAACAGTAAAGGAATCAATGGATGCAGCAAACAAAACGTTGCGAACATTGTTCTTACGTTACATGTTTCAACAGTAAGAAACCGATGTTTAAACAATTTTTTGAAGACCTTTTACTCGGCAACGAGGAGGCGGTCGAAAATGGAATTTCAGTCTGTTGAATATAGCACAGCAGTTGAAAATAATATTGGAAATAGTAGCAATCGAGTTGATTTCACTCGTCCTTTACCGAGTGATTCACATTAGGCAAACGATGATGATGACCTTTCATACAATTTACAATATACATTTATACTATTATTATTATTAAATCTCACACTTGTTATACTCCTCTGGATCTCCCAATTGTTTATTAAATAATCCAACAAATACGTGGGAATTCAGACTATACGCTTTTCAGAGCGTATCAGTGTGTTAAGTTTGGTTGAGCAAAATTGAGCGAATGGACGAGCTATTATACTTTTCTCGATGATCATCAGTTGCATAGATTCGATGACAGCGTTAGACGATCGTTATATTTAACTCGTAATTATCAATTTATCAGTCTGTATCTACGAGAATCTTCATCTTCATCTTCCTTTTCTAACGCGTTAGTTGTACGATGCAAATGCAAATACAGCGTCTTGAGATTAACCGAAGATCGATCGAGCTCACAACTGTTACGTGTCACCGACGATCTAACGATACGATTTCTTGACGAGTTTTCCTATCGAAATAGAGTTCTCGTGTGATGAGAGCAACGTCGAGTGTCGGTGTTGGATTTAGGATACTTGAGTTAAGTTGAATTGGAAAATGTTTGGTTGTAGCTGCTATCGCATGATCTACGGTTTTCAACGTTTTGTTCGAGTCTGGCAGGTTCGTACGAGACGGAAGGTGTCTGGGTAAGGTACACGAAGATTCGGAAGAAACGCGGTAGAGAAGCTCGCGTTTTACAAGTTGGAAGGGAGATCGAAAGTGGTTCTGGGAAACAGATAGCAAGAAAAGTTTTCTTCTTCTCTCGACGTGGATATTTAGTTTTTCAATTCTACTCTGCAAATAGAATCTTCCCTTTCTCGTAACATTAAGCGACGTATCGTTGATAGGATAAAATCGACGATCGAAATTTTCTAACGTGTTATATCGTATGGAAATTTCTTTCTGTCGTGTAGATTCTGGTACAGTAGAACCTCGGTAGCTCGAACGTCTGCAATTCCGAAAAGCTACGTGCAATGGAACTACAACTTTGTTCATTCTACTGCGCTCAGTTGTAGGGAGCTTCGTATAAATGGGAAAAGAAATTTGCTGTAATTTCTTCTCTATATAGATAAATATGCAAAATATAAATATAATCGAAGAATATAAATTTTGTTATTAAATTATGATTTCGTTCACGTTCAGACGCCTTGTTTTATCTCTGTAACTCGATTCAATTCGAAGAATCGCAGTTCATCTTTGTAGCTTACCGCGTGCTTTTTCATGTAAACTGATAGTTTTTCGTCAGTCAATTGGAAAGCAAATGTTCATAATTTCTATCATTAATTTGTGCCATTGCGTCGTTGAACGTCTATAAAAGGACAAACCCAACACGTGTAGAATAAAGCTGATAATAAAGCTTCTTTATAAGTCGAAAGCTTCTTTATTGCCAGAAGGCAAGCTCCGATAAGCTTTAAAATCTTCGTAACTCGACGACTTAAACTCTTCTCTCGAGATTCGAGTTACGCAGGTTCTACCGTAATACGAATTCGAACCAAGTTTCCTTGCTTTTACCTTTGCAAAAACAAAATCCTGTAGCACCTAACCCCAATCTACTGATCTATTGAAAATATAGAAAGTAATTGACTTAATCGTTTTAACACGATGACTACTCAATTACGATTACTCAATGAAGATTATTAAGATTAGTAATCTACTAATCTATTGAAAATATAGAAAGTAATCGACCTAATCGTCTTAACGCGATAACTACTCAATTACGATTACTCAATGAAGATTAATAAGATTATTATGATTAGCAATCTACTAATGTACTGAAAATATAGAAAGTAATCGACCTAATCATCTTAACACGATAACTACTCAATTACGATTACTCAATGAAGATTAATAAGATTATTATGATTAGCAATCTACTAATGTACTGAAAATATAGAAAGTAATCGACCTAATCATCTTAACACGATAACTACTCAATTACGATTACTCAATGAAGATTAATAAGATTATTATGATTAGCAATCTACTAATGTACTGAAAATATAGAAAGTAATCGACCTAATCATCTTAACACGATAACTACTCAATTACGATTACTCAATGAAGATTAATAAGATTATTATGATTAGCAATCTACTAATGTACTGAAAATATAGAAAGTAATCGACCTAATCATCTTAACACGATAACTACTCAATTACGATTACTCAATGAAGATTAATAAGATTATTACGATTAGCAATCTACTAATGTACTGAAAATATAGAAAGTAATCGACCTAATCGTCTTAACGCGATAACTAGTCAATTACGATTATTCAATGAAGATTAATAAGATTATTATGATTAACAATCTACTGATTTATTGAAAATATAGAAATTAATTGACCTAATCGTCTTAACGCGATAACTACTCAATTACGATTATTCCATGAAGATTATTAAGATTAACAATCTACTAATCTACTGAAAATATAGAAAGTAATTGACTTAATCATCTTAACACGATAACTACTCAATTACGATTATTCAATGAAGATTATTATGATTAACAATCTATTGATCTACTGAAAATATAGAAAGTAATCGACCTAATCGTCTTAACGCGATAACTACTCAATTACGATTACTCAATGAAGATTAATAAGATTAACAATCTACTAATCTACTGAAAATATAGAAAGTAATTGACTTAATCATCTTAACACGATAACTACTCAATTACGATTATTCAATGAAGATTATTATGATTAACAATCTATTGATCTACTGAAAATATAGAAAGTAATCGACCTAATCGTCTTAATGCGATAACTACTCAATTACGATTACTCAATGAAGATTAATAAGATTATTACGATTAGCAATCTACTAATGTACTGAAAATATAGAAAGTAATCGACCTAATCGTCTTAACGCGATAACTAGTCAATTACGATTATTCAATGAAGATTAATAAGATTATTATGATTAGCAATCTATTGATCTACTGAAAATATAGAAAGTAATCGACCTAATCGT